AAGAGCTATCAAGGATGACCGCTGATGAATACCAAGAAGACATCATGCAACACATGATCCACATGGAAGGACAAACCCTGCCAGACGTCAACTCCATTGACATCCAGACCGAGATCCAGTGGTTCATGCGCCCTTACCTCCTCGACTTCTTGGTTGAAGCCCACGCTGCCTTCCAGTTGTTGCCCGAGACCCTCTTCCTGGCTGTCAACCTCCTCGACCGCTACTGCTCCCGCCGCGTTGTCTACAAGCGTCACTACCAGCTCGTCGGCTGCGCAGCTCTGCTAATTGCCGCCAAGTACGGTGACAAGAAGGACCGCGTACCCACCGTGCGGGAGTTGAAGTCGATGTGCTGCTCTCTCTACGATGACGAGATGTTCACTCAGATGGAATGGCACGTTCTGCAAACCCTGAACTGGATGATCGGCCACACCACAGTCGACGCATTCCTCCAGATCGCCCTCTCGGAAGCCCCATACGATGCCGAGGTTGAGCACATGGCTCTCTACATCGCCGAGATTGCCCTCTTCCACAAGGAGTTCGTCTCCACCCGACCATCCGTCCTCGCCCGATCCGCCCTTGCCCTCGCGAGATGCGTCCTGTCCCGACCCCAAGCACGCAACACCGACTGGTCTGGTGCTTACGACCCTCAAACAGTCATCGGTCTGTCCAACCACCTGTATCAGCCATCCCCGGTACTTTCCCGCAAGTATGCATCCATGCATCTGTCCACTGTGTCCGCCACCGTCGAGGAATTCCTGCAAAGACAAGCGCAGATCGCGCGCCGCCAGGCTGCCCCTCCTACGCCACCCCCGACCGTCACCATCGAGGAGCCCAAGCCCGTGCCCAATGTCAACGCTTACCCGCAGACGCCCAACAAGAACCCATACAGCTCTGTCATGCAGAACGGATGCCCCACCCCACCGATTACGCCTGAGGGTGAGCACTTTGCGTATGGTCACATTGTCAAGTCACAGCCTCAATCAATGTATCCCACGACACCTACTCCGGAACAGCAGTCCACGATGCAGCATCAGGGTCAATACTTCCACAACCAATACCTCCATGTTTAAAAGATCACCGCGCCAGGCAGTGGCCATTCTTACCGCTGTCGAAAAACTCAACTGCCATGGACTGTCATGATCACATCCATCGCGCTCCGTTGTACCAAAAATACTCGTATGAGCGTCATAGCAGGTCATTTCTTCCAGCATTTACAAGCGTCTTGTTACTGTTATATTGCGATATCAAAGACGTCACTTTTCTGTTTCGAGCATTTCTTTTGTTAGGTCCGACCAAAATTTACCGGTCGTCTGCTGCCATGCGCACGGCATTAGCCTGCGGTGGCTAGTGGAGCCCAGATCAGGTCGAGCACCCTTTCTTCTTGGATATAAAGTCCATCTAATACGGGTTGTTTGATCTGTTCTGCAGCATGTGGGGAGGATAAGCGGCTACAGGCTGAAATTGGAAATACACAAGCCAGCACAACCAGGCTCACTCGCAACTGTTGTTTGCTTACGCGAGCCGAGATACCCTTCCTTTCTCAATCCAAAACTTTTTTCGGACACCTCATTTGTTCACGGTTGTCTACTTTCCTTTTGCATATGCGGTGGAACGGTGAAAAAGTGTTGAAGTGATGTGGGCGTGTTGTTGCAAGCTCATCAGAATGTTACTGGACAGCCGGGCTGGAAGAGCTACGAAGAGCATCAATAGTATAGAAACGGTCGCCCAAAATTGAGGAATTGGTCTTCCATGCTCGCTTTCGCCCTGGCATCCCGTTGTTTCTGTGTTTCATCATGCGATATTCTTGGTGATATATGTTGGGCGAGTGGATGCTACACAGTCCACGCCGCAGGGTACACGCATGTTTCACAGCAAGCAATGCCATCTCAATTGCTTAAGATTGCCTTGCTCTGCTCATCGAAGCACGCAGACCCTCCTTTACTCAACTGCAGACACTGGCGAGTATGCCTCTAGTAAGTATTACACGGCGCCTGTAGGGGCCTATCAGCACCTCCAGCTACTAACCGCCCCAGATCTCTATTACTACCGCAAACTCGTCTAAAGCAGGCTACAAACTGCTCTCACCCTATACCGACGATGATACTACATTCGCACACAATACGCTCTGTCCGCGTTATGCCGAGTCTGACCCCACGTCTGCGCCGCCGTCCCCTGCGTCCGTCGAGTCCTTCGAAATATTGGACAGCATACCTTGGCGGAGAGGCTACATATCCCTGGACAACCATGGAAGGCAAAGCGGCAATACACTACGAAGTCGATGGATGAGGAACAAAGTTCGCGCTATGGTGCTACTTTTCCTCCTCACTTTGCTTGTAGCTGGTTGCGCGCTAGGTGGATACATGACAATTAAGCATGGGAAAAGCAAATCCAGCACAGACGCTGCATGATCATGCATACAGAAAGACGGCACATGGGAAAATCCTTACTCATACTCGAAAACAGGAAATCGACGATTATCTCCCAGCCTCGCCGTTTCGGCATACGCATTGTCAGGAAATCAGTGGATGTGGCGTTGTCCGGAGTACCCGACAGCAAATCCCGTGCAAGGAAGGCCCCTTGACACAGCCAGCCACGTCTCCGCAGGAAGAGGCAAATAACAGTCTTTGGGCGACAAAGGAAGGTGCGCTGTATGTCAGACGGGTCGTTGAACGACAAGGGATCAACGCGGTACGCTTAGTGTTGAGGCGGATCAGCTCACCGGGACGCGATTTGGTGTGTTGCAGATTGCGATGCGTTGGCGGCATGTAGTGGCTGGGGTAGCCCTACAGGTTCACGGGATAAAGTCCGGCAGTGCATTTAGAAACAGAGTCACGCGGCTACGAGCATACAGAGCATAGGTTCGTGAAATCAGTGGACCTGAGTTCAGTCTAAGATACGATGGAATTTGTTCAATGATGTTGTGCTGTGGACGTCCTTCTGAGGTTCACTATCGCTGCTCACGTGAAGCCTATCTTATCGCAACATCGCGATACCACACGTTAGAAGCCACACCAATAGCACACCATAATCTCACACTTGGCCAAATGTTCCGCCATGTTACACAATGACTTTGACTGAGCCCTAAACCGATGTCTAACATCGACAGCAGCGCGCCACTGCTTACGAGCGTTGCGACCCCGTCCTTGCCGTCATCTCGCAGCCCGTCTCCAATGCCTTCTCCCTCCCGCAAGCGTGCAATATGGCCCTTAGTACTTCTTCTCCTCTTGGTCCAGCTATCTTCTGTTCTATACACGTTACCTCTCAATCGAGTGATAGAGTTGCGATTATGCCAAGAACATTATCAAAAACATGATGTATCTGTCATTCAACCTGATGGCTCGATACCGGAGCTGTTGTGTAAAATCAAGGATGTTCAGAGGAAGCTGGCGTGGTTGCAGGGTAGTATGGAGACGATGAGTGTTGTATTTGGTATGTGATAGATGAGTTTGGTATGGAGAGAGAAGTCGTTTATGCTAATACTGTGTATGTCAGACTTCGTTGTGACTATACCGTTCAGCTTTGTCGCGGAGAAGTGGGGTGTCAGGACTGTATTGTGGTGCAATCTTGTCCCACGGATTGTAAGTAGTGTATGGGCTATCGTTGTCGGTATGTATCGTCCCAATATGAACAATCTTCATCGCGATGCTTCGTCAAGATATATTGTTTTCAACATTACGACATGCACTCTCTAAAGTATGCTAGGACACCTTCCACATCTTCTACCAACCGAATCCATCCTCGCAGGTCCCATCTTCAATGTCCTAGGAGGCGAGTGTGTCTTCCAGTCAACAATCTTCACGCTTACTTCGGCTTTGACAAGCGAGTATGTTCAGCGGTGAGTAAATATCCGTCCGTATAGAAGAACACGCTAAGTACATACAGAGCATCATACTTCTCTTACATCAGCTCGACATCATACATCGTCTCCTTCATGGGCCCAACCCTAGCAGCCTTTACCATGAGCAACAACCTCTGGCTGCCCTTCTGGCTCAACATCGCCCTCCTACTCTGCGCAATACCAACAATCATCTTACTTCCCAACACCACAAACCCTCGACACACTACCAGAAACCCTACGTCCAGACCCGTGGAGGAAATAGAGGAAGCCGGGCCCTTACTCGAGAACACAGATACCAGCCCAACCCGCTACAGCACCGCTTTCAACCCCCCACCCACCATCTACCAAACCATCACTCAGACCCTCTATCGACTACGCGATCTAATAATTGGGAGATATAACTTTCAAGTCCTCTTGGTGACTTTCTTCTTCACTGCACTAGCAAGTTCCGACACAAAGCTGCTCGTTCAATACATTTCCAAACGCTACAACTGGACATTTGCACAGGCGGGATACCTCCTCTCAGCCAAAGCACTCGTGAACCTCACGTTGCTGGTCGTAATCGTCCCCCGACTTATCCGCACGTCGATTTCGGTCAAAGCTGTGAGGGGCGATGATGTTAAATTAAATGTGATGGGCGCGAGGGTGAGTATTGCGGTGTCGGTGCTGGGTGTGCTTTGTATAGCTGTGGCGAGTCGGTTCTGGATGTTGCTTGCTGGTACGTTTTCTCTTGCATTCTCGTTTACATGGATTATGTGAGCTGATGTGTCTAGCACTCATTATATACGCCCTGGGTTCTGCTCTGCCGGTGTTCACCATGTCGCTGGTCAAGTTGTCGCTTGTCGCGCTGGAACATTCTGATGCGCAGGACTTCAGTATCGTCATGTTGACTAAGACACTTGGGTCTTTGGTTGGCGCGCCGTTGATGACTGTGCTCTGGGTTAAGGCTATCGAATGGGGAGGTGCGGGATTGGGGTTTCCGTATGTGGTGTCTTGTGTAAGTGAACATTCATCCTTGTTAGGAAGCATACTGACTGCTTCTAGGGGCTGTATATATGTGCATTCACTATATTCACGCGATTGCGCACTTAGATGTTCAAAAACTACCGTGGATTGTAAAATCATGTACATTAGAAGAAAGCATATCTAAAAAGATGGTCGTCTAATTGGTTGTATACTTCGCCCCATTATCCATCCAACTACTCATCTCATACCGACCGGACATACCCTCGCTCTCTCCACTCCCCCTCCCCGGATCCATAACCCTGTCCCTCAAAGAGTCTCTCACAGACTCATGACTCACAAGCCTGCCTTCGCTCCCGGCTGAATCCCTCTCCCTCCTCGCCATAACTCTTGCCCCGGCGCCATCCATATCGTTGCCAAAATCCCTCTCCATGACCATCTCCTCTTTGTCAAGCATCGCTGTTACACCTCTTCCGTTCCCATGGACAATGATACGGGTCTTATTCAGGGAGTGTTTGACTGGCTGTTTTGCGTTGAAGATGTCGCTGATTTCCTCGAGGGTGCGGCGACGTGTTTCGACGAAGAAGAAGTAGATGACGATGAATTCGAATATGTCCCAGAAGATGAATAGGAAGTAGTACTGCGAGGAAAAGGTTAGCAAGGGTTATGAGCTGACCAGGTGATCAGACATACCTTCCATCCTGCGCCTGAAAACGCAATTCCAGTAACAAAGGTGTTGTAGAAGTTTGCAATGTTCACCCAGAAGTTGTAAAACGCCATCCCTTTGGCCCTAGATTCATATCGTAGACACTCGACCGGATATAGCTGCTGCAACGGCGTGTAACCTGTCGAGTAGACAAACCCGAAGATAAAGAAGAACGCGATCACTGCTCTTGCCTGTCCGATCCTCTCGATTTGCGGTGTATGATTTGCATCGTAGATTGGCTTTCCATCTGGTCCCTTTTTGAGATTGGTGGCAACTAGGGCGCAGACAATAGTGAGGATGCCAACGAGTAGGCCGGTGGACACGAGGAGTTGGGGTCGACGGCCCCAGGAGTCGGTGTAGACGGCGCCAAACACCGCGCCGGCGAATGAAACAACGTTCTGCATTCCGTTATAGAGAAGGCGTGTGCGATTGTTGGCTATGCCAGCGCCCTGAAGTATAGTTGGGTAGTACTGCAGAGGTAGAGGTACGAAGTCAGTCTATGTCTCACATGCACTCCGTACAGTCAAAACTTACGTAGGATACAGGGCCATTACCTGACCACTGTCCAAAGAACGCCATGCACACTACTAACATAGTTCTGTATCGAGCTTCTCGTGAGTTGAAGAGTTCTCGGTAATCCCACCATCTCTTATCTGATCCAGTAACGCTGATATCTTCGACCATCTCCTTATACTCCAGCTTGACGATAGGCGAATCGCGGTTACCCTCGCCATGAAAGCGTGCCATAGTATCCAGGGCTTCCTCATGACGGTCATTTGCGATGAGCCATCTAGGCGTTTCTGGCAGGAACGGCGAGCTCACAAACACAATACCAGCGAATATCATCTGAAGCCATATTGGAAAACGCCAGGACTGTGATCCGTCGATTTTGCTGGTCCCATACGGAACAAAAGTGCCTGGGATTCCACCAACGTACCAGAAAGTATTGAAGATTCCTGTGCAAATGCCGCGGTAGGATGGGTGTGCCATCTCAGACACATAAGCGGGACCAGCGGTCGAAGTAATAGCAACGCCAAAACCGAGGACGAAGCGACCGCCCATGAAACCAGCTAGGTTGGAGCACGATGCTTGGATACAGGCGCCGGTTATGATGATTGAGGTACCAATACACATCCCCCATTTTCTTCCTCTGAAGTCTGTTGCAGGGCCAGCAACGAAGGATCCGACTAGATTCCCAATGGTGTAAATGGCATAGACGATTCCAGTAGTAGGAGTTCCCTCGGTCTCATTAAAATTGAAATAAGAACGATACTGAGGGTAACTGTTGATTGCCCCCATGAGCGATCCATCGTATCCGTTGATGCACGAGTTGAGTGTGGCGATGAAAAGGCAGAGATATAGCTATCACACCGTTAACACCATCCTGGAACAACGTTTTTGTCATAATACCTTGAACATGGCCTTTGTCCATGGCCGAACGTTAGCCTTAGCCGTTGCATCGGCAAAAGCAACGTTCTGCACCTGGCGAATTTGCGTCGAGCTGCTGCGCTCCGTATGCGAAGTGTGCACATCCCTCTTGTGGCGGTAATCCATGTCGACAAAGTCCCGCCACGGGAAAAATAATACTATTGTTGAAATGAATTGAACAATGAAGTCTTCCTCAAGCCCAAGGTAATGAACAGCATGGCCCACGCATCAGCATTCGACAGACAGAAACACCGCGGAGCTGCGAGCGCGGACGCAAGGCACAGTAATATATTCCGTCCCCATCCACGCGACCAAGAAATCCAGATTCGCCTCGCCAGTAAGAACAGCGTGGGCTATACATCCCCGTCCTTAAAGCGCAGCCTCGCATGCATGTGGCACAGTGCAGGGGGGTCCCGCATGATGACCGGGTATTTGCAGACCTGCGGATTCGCTTAAGTCTGGGGAGGAAGCAATGATTGGAGTCTGGCTTGAAGGGTAAGATGAGAAGGCTTGGGGTTGTGAGTGGCCATTTCACATGCTGCTCAAGGACATGTAGCTTATGCGACAGCTTTCTGACTGTGTGTCAGTTGGTGTTGGTGGAGGCGCATCCTGCATGTTGGTGGAAAAGCCCTTGTACCGAATGGAAGTATTCCGTTTCAGAGAGTGAGACCTCACGGAAGCAATGGAAGAATCGAGGAAGCCACCGAGGCCGCCCATTCGTACCATGCCGCAATCCCTTCGCTTCGCGACTGCCTGGCGTTCTGACACAGGGCAGATGCAGGCGTCATCGCACGCCCTTGTGAGACCTGGGCTGAGCTGCAGTATCGGCGGCGAGAGCGACGTTTGGCAGTCTGCGGTACATTTTTGATGCTATTGTTCAAGAATTGTTGCTAATGTTGATGTTTGCGAAAGATGAAGTCTAGAAGACGGCCCTGCCGCCCTCCACCCGCAAACCGAGCTAGCGGACCGAACAATCCGGGGAACGCAGGGGAGGTGCGACCCGCTGTCCAGAACACTTGAGCCGTCTTCAGCTTTTCTTCGCGACAATTGCACCGAGAAGTAATTTACGCTCACGAGGAGAGTATTTACAGCTAGCAGTTGTCATTCAGCAAGCTACCTTTCCTGCAGTCTTTGATTCTGCATGCCAGCCCCGCTCGCCACTACTCGGCCTCTTAATATACACATATTGAGCTCCACCTCCACTACCGACATAGTATGCCAGCGGTTCCTGAAAGACCAGGGATCTTCGTGTCGTGTGATCCGCCATACCTTCTTCAGGGTTCTGGAAGCCAATACATGTCGCTGTCATTACATCACCACTTGCGCACGCTGGAGTCATTAATATCAAAGATAAACCCTCTGGCTATTATACATGCATCCTAGTCTAAAAGGCGACGGGGAAAGGTGGCTCTACAAGCCTCCCTATAACCTATGATGAATGCAAAAGCTACCTCCTCCACTGCGACGTCCAACCGCCAATAGGCTGATAGTACAGAAACACACTGCTCACGCTCAAGTCCGACGACGTCGTTTACTCGTCGTCGTCCGGGTTCGTGTCGGACTCGTAGATAAACTCACCCGGAGTGGAAGCCTCGGCCTCGCCCTCATCCACCATGTTATCACTGACCGGCGCTGCAGCAGTTGTTACTGATATGCCTTCTGGTCCTTGATCTCCTGAAGAGCCCGACGCGCCAGGGGCAGGGGCAGGCACGGCCTTCTTTACCTTGAGCTCTAGGAGCGTCTTCGGTTCTGAAGGCTTCGTGTCTGTGAGAAGAATGACACCGAGTGTTGGCTGGTGACGGGTTAGCTTAAGGATCTTCGGCGTGGTGAGCAAATGACTAACCTTCTTCACTGGTACATATCGTTCGCTTGGGAAGCTGATGTACTTCACTTGGGGCGGCAGTACACGCGACATGTTCTCCAGCTCGTAGCCAACCTTCTCCTTCTCAACCTTCTTCTTTGAAGACTCCACATTTTGGGCACCGTCAGCCTTCTCGCCATCTTCCTTCTTAGGGTCCTCGTCTACGTCCATCTTGTCGTCGTCCGCAGGCTTGGGTGTGGTAGGAGTGTGGTCCACATCCATGCTTTCCCTCCGCTTTTGGCGCTCCTTTACCATCCGTCGTCGCTTATCTTGAGCGGTGGTGGATAGGACTGCGGTCTTGATCTTCTCGGGCGCCTCTTCTGCCTTGACCTCTGCGTCTGGCGGGTAATCGAACATGCTTGGCCTAGTGTTGCTGTGAAACTTGAACGACGGGATCTCCAACTCCTGGTCTAGACCAATGACGGCGGTAGACGTGAAGCTCAACGAGAGGAAGTGAGTCAGAGGGAACCAGTACCAGTACTGGGTGAAGACGGCCATACCGACGATGGCCGCCATGTTCAGGTTGCCGGTCGGCGTCTGCAGACCGATTGTGCAATTCCTACCTCCGGCATCAATGATACCCAGGGCAAGAGCAGCACCGAACTTGGCCATAGCATCCTCGTGGCGATCGCTCACCACCTTGGCGAGCTGCTTTCGGATAGATGCTACTTTGGGGTTCATTGCCTCGTTTTGCTGTACCATGATCATGGACAGCGCAATCAAAGCACCTTGTCGGACGAAGTCAGTTGAGTCCTTCATCATTGGCTCCAACAGATCTATGGCCTCTGGGAGACCAGTTCCCGCGCAAGCAATGCCCAGAGCCATGGTGGCTCCGTATCGCACATGTGGGTTGTATGACTCTGCGAGAAGCTCAACCATGCGGGGAACACTGCCTGGCTTCCTGAAGAGGATGAAACCCAAGCTCATGACTGCAACTCTTCGTACATCGTCGCTGACGTCACTGACGGCAACGTGAAGTAACCTTCGGACAGCCTTGTTACTGCCTGTGCCACAGTACGCCAGAGCGATGGTCATGATACCTCCGTATCGCAGGGTTGGGTCTGGGTCGTCGAGGAGACCATTGATGAGCTCGTCGGCAGCCTCTTGTCGGCCGTACATGATGAGTGCCATGCCCATGGCTAGACCACGAACAATCTTCTCGTGCTGTGTGTCGTGCGCGTACTGGATCATGTCTTCGAGTGCCTTGATGTTGCCAGTGCCGAGCATGACAAGACCCATGGAGAGACCGACAGCCTCACCGTTGATGGCGGAGTCTGTGTACAGAACGTTCTTGAACGCCTCGAAGATCTCCTCGGAGCCAGTGCCCATGCCAGCAACACCAAGACCGAGCGCACCACCATGCTGGATGACCTCTTCAGATGCGTTCTGGAACTGCTTCAGGAGGAGATCGAGAACATTGGATCCGTGGTTCGCGTAGATCAAACCAAGAGCGTACAGTGATCCACCCTGCTCGTAATGAGAGCCCGATGAGACACTGTCCTTGGGCAGGTAAGGCTCAAGAAGCTTCTGCCCTTGTGTGATGTTGCCGCGGTGGATGACACCCAGAGCAGCGGTCGCAGAGAACTTGGACCAGTTGACTGCCTTTCCCAGCCATTCCAGGTTCTCGCGGAAGAATGTGTCATTGGTAGTGCCAGCATTCATGAAGGCGTTGGCGAAGGTAACACTGGAGTGGAAGATGGAGTTCCTAGCCTCCAAGCTGTCGCGGACCTTGTTGAGCACAGCCTTGTCTGTACGGTTGTTTCTGTACAGGAACTCGAGGTTCAGTTCGATGCTCTTAGTTCCGCGGAGAATGTAGCGGACATTGTTGTAAACCTTGATCTGATCTTCACTCGCCTGGTCACCCTTTGAGTTGCTAGTGTCCACATCTGCGAGCAGAGAGTCCGACTCGCCTGCATCCGAGGGATTCTGCGCGTCTTCCTTCTCAGCTTCCGGCAGCTCTTCCATGATCTTTGTGAGGAACTCTTGTGTGCCGTTCTCGTAGAGGTCGAAGGAGATCTGGTATGCGACTGCGCGAGACTTGTCGTCTCCTCGCTCGATCAGCTGCCGGATGAGCTTCGAAGCCAGCGAGTGCTGGTTGAGGTACACGACACACTTGGCGATGGAGAAGTAATCGGGGTTCGGGATTTGGTCGTCGTTGAGGAGATCCAGAATCAGGCGGAGGATCTCGTTCCTCAGGCCTCGCTCTTGTACCACGTTCATGCAGATGTCGAGAACGTATTCCATCAAGTCCTCGCTCTGTGCGGAGGGCTGTGCGGGCTTCTTGCCCTGCTTCTTTCCGTCCTGGCTTGCGCGAACAATCGACTCGCGCAGGACATCGAGATTCCGCGCCTCGATGGCGATTCCAACGACCTGCTTGTAGTTGCCGCTCTCGTAGCAGCTCTCGAATATCCGCCGTACAGTGCTGTGGAGGTTCTTCTGCACGTTCCGCTGCAATACCATCGGGGTCGGGTGGGCACCTGGTACACCGGCATTGCCTCCTCCGGGGAGTGTAGGGTCGAATGTCGACGAGTCTTCCCTGGAGAGAAGCGACTTGGAGGGTAACGCGGACTGGGAGAAGGGCGTTATCGGCGAAGCAAGACTGGCTGCAGTGCTGGCACCTCCTGCCGCGTTTCCGGAGAAGGATGTGCTCAGTTGAGGAGGAGCCTGGCTCGCCTTGCTGACCGGTGTCGGGGGGTTGTGCATGACGGACAGCGCGATGTACGTGTCTAAGCATTTGGCTGGAAAAAGCAAGTCAGCAAACTGTGCTCGAAGTCTGATGAGCCCGCTGTTTCAGCTCGTGATGAAGGTAAACATGAGCTGAAAGTGAGGCTCGGTTGTCCGCAGTGTCTTACCCAGTATTGTCTCCTCGAACTCGGCTGCCTTGTGGATGTCGAAGAGCTTGCCTGCGCCCAGGGCGAAGACCATGCTCTCATTGTACTCTTGCAGCTGGTAGTACACCTTGGCGGCTACCAGAGCGGCCAGCTCTCGCTCGGGGAACGAGTCGTCTTCGTAGAGCGCCTCACTATGACGCACCCATGTTAGCAGCTGTTTTGATGGCGATATGGCGATGTGGCGATGAGCGCGCGTAATAGCTCAGCTGAGTTCCTTACATTTGACTGACAGACCCCGCGACCTCGGGCCACAGCAGGTCGATCTCCTCGTTCAGCCGCTGGAGGGCGAACGAGCGCAGGGCCGGGTCGGGTTCCGAGAGGAAGCCGACGACACCGGCGGCGGACGTGAGGCCAACCATTGTATTGTGTCTTGC